GCTATGTGATTCCAGTGACAGCGATGCCAGACGATTGATCCCACTTTGCACGTGGCCTCTCCACCAGCCGTCTCCTTCTGCTAGTGGGCAATTTGGTGGAGAGGGAGGGGAAGGTAATCTGTAGAGATGAAGAGTGAATGCACAATTTTTGTGGCACTTTTTCTAAGCATTCCTCTATTCATAAGGGATTTATAATCGATGTCTTAATCTCTGATCATTCTTTCTTATAGATTAAGTCAGACATGGGACCCTTAACATTTTAAGTATAGATAAGTGCTAAGCCACAACCACAGTTTCAATATCTATTTCTCATCTTGGTCACAGGCCCATATTTCTCCCACCCTTGTCTCAGAGGCTAATGAGAGCCCATCTTCAGCAGGCTCTGCCCCCAGCCAGCAAAGGCCATAACCCGTCCTCTTCGGTCCCTAAATTCTGTCGATTCCAGTCCCAACCTACTCTGGCCATTAGGCCAAAATCCTCCTCAGCACTGGTTTGCTTTCAGACTTGGAGTTACAATGATCACTAAATTAATTTACTTGTGGGGTTTTATATGTGTGTGTGTGTGTGTGTGTGTGTGTGTGTGTTTAGAGAGAGAGGAAGAGAGAAAGTGTTGATCCACTGCCTCCTACACATCCCCTACTGGGGATCAAGCCTGAAAACAGGCATGTGCCCTGACCGGGAATCGAACTTGGACCTCTCAGTTCATAGGACGGTGCTCAATCCACTGAGCCACAGCAGCTGGGCTACATGTGGGTTTTTAAACATATTTTGGAGCTAGCCTGAAAATCCAGGTCATTTGTAATATTAACTGCTCTAACTTCTAAACAAACTATTTAGAACAAACAATTTAGAAGTAAACATTTAAAATTCTGTCCTGTGTTCGGGTGAGAGGAATTGGGCTGTCCAATAGAGTTCAAAAGTTTCCCAGGAGAAAAAAACAGAATGTCAATCTCCCTCTCCCCCCTCCCAATCCCACCCCACATCCTGCCACAGATTTGGTTATGGGGACCAGTGAAGTTACTGGCAGCTGCATGTGTTCAAACAAGGCAAACTTCGTAATAAGCCATGTCCAAAACCAAGCACAACTTGTATTACTGTTTATGACAACCTTATTTTTTCCCTAGTGAAATAGAATTCTACATTCCCACTTCTGTCTCAGCCTCGCCAGGCACCTTGGACTTCCCACAGTTCTCTTGTCTGGGTTATAACTATCAAATAGGTGGAGGTTGGAGGATTTTCATGTCAAAGAATCGCTTTGAGTGAAATGGATGAAGAAATGTAATTTAAAAATAGGGAGAATTTGGGGGCCAAAACTTCTTCACTCAGTAATAAGCCTGTGACTTTTAGCAGAAAGAGTTTAATAAAAATCTTTTCCAGGTATAGCTTCCTGAATGAGCAGAGAATAGGTTCACTGGAGTTGCTGCATCTGTATAATTGAAATTTATGAAGAAATTCTCAGCCAAAGAGCAGGCTTTGCTGACCCATAAGCAATACAGACATCCGAGGGAGGGGAAAAAAAAAAAATGTAGCTGCTATTCCTGCCAGACAACATAGTGGCTAATGAGAAACAAATTATAAATCAGACACAGTCAATACTGACATAGTCAATATGAATCCAACACTACACATTTCTTCTGTTTAGCGCAAATAAGAGTGGCTCAAAATACAATGGCAGTGGGACATACTAATTCACTTTTTATATAATTCAATCCTGGATCTCTTAATCTCAATATGCAAATGAATTTGTATACTGTACAGATAAATATTCTCATTAGGGTTTCTAACATCTAAGCAAACAGGCTCCATTCTTCTCCCCAAAGTCCCAGCAGGTCTATTACACTACCTTTATTTTGTTTGTTTAATGCTTCTTCATAACTAACAAAATTCCACAACCAGCTTCCTCGTGTACAGAGATTCTTTTTAACTAGGCATTCATTCGTTTGTTTTTTTATTTCATCAGCACACGCAAGAGCAGCTCTAATGGAGGAGTTACAATGGACGTAAAGATAAAGGTGGGTAGGGCATAGTACATTGAACAGCATTCCTGGGCAAGCCTCTCGAGCTGGAGGTTGCATAAAAACATTACATACTTTCTTCCGAAACTTGACTCAGACTCAGGATATAGTCCATAGCATTTACCACAAGCACAAGAATCATTCCTGACACTCTGCTTCTGCATCCAGGGGAGGCTTGGAAGTACATTTGGTTCTCATCTACTAACAGCAAATCTTGGTATGAAAAAAGCAGGAATGTGAGACAGTCTTCAGTAGGTCACTTAGGGGAAGGAGAGCAGAGAAAAGGACAGAGGCCTGAGATTTCTGTCTGGGTTTTTGGTCCGGATTTTCGTCTACATCATTTGGCTTCTCTGGGCCGAAATCAAATGAGGATGGCGATTACACCTGATGGCAGAAAACGTGAGTGCTGCCCTCGGAACCTCTCCGTGAGGCCTGCGCCAGGTAGCTGCAGCGTCCTAGGACGGGGACGCTTTTATTTTTTTTTTTATTTTTTTTTTTAATCCTCACCTGAGGATATTTTCCATTTTTTTGTACAGATAGAGTGGGAGGGAGAGAGAGAGGAAGGGAGAGAGAGAGAAACATCGACGTGAAGGGACACATCGAGTGGCTGCCACCCGCACAACCAACCAGGGCCGGGGACAAACTGCAACCGAGGTACGTGCCCTTAGCGGGAACCGAACCCGGGTCTCTCCGGACCGCAGGCCGACGCTCTAACCGCTGAACCAAACCGGCCAGGGCCGGGGACGCTTTTAGAATGACATTTTGCCTCCCAACTAGTGGCCCTGTAAAATTGGGGTGAAGACACAAAACGTTCTCCCTACAAACGTGAAAGCCTTTCTCATTCAAAATATACGCACACCCTTGAAAGATGTGAACGGTAAACAAAGAACCCATTTTCTCTATAATATCTGAGTCAGCGTCATAATTTTCTTTAGTTATAAAAGCCTCACCCAACATTCCAATCCATACTCTTGTCCAATTTCCACTGTCTGTGCAAGCCAACTAACATGCAGAGTGGCCATTTTCAAATCTGTAAAATGGGCATAATATCTTTTTTATCCAATTTACAAGGCCGCTGTAGATGTCAGTGAGATAATGTATGTGACAGACCATACATTCACAAGCTCTTGCACATCTGAGTTTCACCCTGTGCTACGAGGTGAAGGCCCAGCCTAGTCCCTGGATCTTCCCCAAGGCATCTTTTCAGGCTCCAGGTTGAGTCCAAGTTTTGTTTCCTCCTATATCCCCTTCCCTCTGCAATGCACACTGTCCAATAGGCCATCTGACAGCCCTGCTCTGTCCTTCCCCGTCTAATCAGCCTTCTTCCCTGGCCAACTTTCAGCTCTCCCTTTAGTGATACAGGTAATAAATAGATGTGTGTTTAATATAACATATGTTTTCCTACTAAGTATGTGTAATAACTGAAGAAAATTTTGACTAGCCAGATAAAGCACCCACTGGATTTGGACCTGGTCAAATGTCCTGAGTTCTACACCTGGCTTGGCTCTTCTCACTGCAAGTCTATGTCCATGTCCAGGTGGCTGGTCTCATATCCTGACGTCTGGTTCAAATAACACCCATATCAGATTCATCTCAATGGAATTCCAGAGCCCCACCTTTGCCCAGAGTCTGAATCACAACCACTGTGGGTAGGGCCTGGGTATATATTCTGTATTTTTGAAAAGCTACTCAGGTGATTTTCCACAGACCAAGGTTTCAGGAGCTCTGCTCCTGATTCCAGACCACACCTCTAAAGCAGCACTGACATCACCTGAGAGAGTATTCGAGATGAAGATTCTCCCCTTAGAGCCAGACCTACTGACCCAGAACCTGCAGATTAAGTAAATCCCCAGAAGATTCTGTCACACATTAAATTGTTCAGATACTCTGTTGTATCACCTGGGAAGTTTTACAACCTATTGGTATCTGGGTTCCACCTGAAGATTCTAGGGGTGCAGCCAAGGCAAAGGGCTCTTACAAGCTTCCCAAGTTATTATAACGTACAACCAGGATAGAGGACTATTTTGTCTAAATGCCAGGTTATTTTTCGACTTTAAATCCTTTTTATTTTTCAGTTAGTGTTGACATACAATATTACATTAGTTTCAGGTGTACAACCCGGTGACCAGACATTAAATAACTTAGTAAGTGATCACCCCAATAAATCTAGTACCCACCTGGCACCATACATAGTTATTACAAATTATTGACTATATACTCTATGCTGTACTTTACATCCCCGTGACTATTTTGTAACTACCAATCTGTACTTCTAATCCCTTCACCTTTTCCACCCATCCTTTAATTCCAGCTTCTTAAGGTTAAGCTATAACCTGAAGTAAATTATCTTTTGTGGGCTTTCCCAGGCCCTAAGGACCACTTAACCAGTGCTTTTTAAAGGACAATAGACTCTGGAGACAAACAAGTTCAACTACCCAGTTTCAAGCCCACCAAATCTGAGGCGGGAAACTTTCTGTGTTACCTTGTGGCAGGCAGACAGGGCGCCAAACGTGGTGCACCCCGGACCCCTGCCCTTCCCTATCCCCGGATCGCCCCGCCCACCTGCGGGTCGCCCCGCCCTTCCCCGGATCGCGCCGCCCCCTAGTGACGCGCCTCCCTGTACCCGGCTCATGCGCACTGCTATCCGCTCCTCCCGGCCGCTCCTCCTCAGCGCTGTCATTCTCCGCGGCGCCGTGGCCAGTGCGGACTGCGGTGCCCGCCCGCCCCTCGCCCGCCCTGGCCCGCAGTTGAGCTGGCGGAGCTGGCGATGTGACCGAGCCTGGGAGCGGGCTTGGGGCTCTGCGGGCAGCAGCGTCTTGGCTTCTGTCTGGCCGCGTTCCCTGCGGAGCCGCGATTCCTTCGGAGCTGGAGACACGCACCAGGGGCTCGGAGCGCGCCCCCCGGGCCCGGTGCAGCCGCAGCCGCCGTCGCCGCCGCCGCCGCTGGGCACCGCGGGGCCGAGGCAGCTGGTGCAGAGCGGGGCCACCGGCCGCGCGCAGCCGAGAGCGGTCCCCGGGAAGGCGCCTTGTCTGCTGCGTCTCAGCGAGTTGACTGCAGTTTCCGAAGTTGGAGGGAGCCGTGCGGAGGGGAGGTTGGTTTTCATCTTCTTCTTCTTGTGGGAAGCTGGGGTGGCACCACTTGTTAGTTGGGCGCCAGCTTGCGGAGGTCAGGGTGCCAGACGCAGACACGCACGCGGGAGAGGCCGCGGTCCAGCGGGCTGGCTCCAGCCTCGGCAAGACGTGCCAGTTGGAAACGCAGTGCGAGGACAGGTGCTCCCAGAGCACGGCGCCCGCCGCCCAGGCACCTTCCGAGCTTCGCCGTGTGCGCGGGGGTAGAGGGCACAGGATCTGGTCACCTCTATCCTAAATCCTCCAGTGGCTGCCTCCTGTAATATTCCTGGGTGCCTTAGATCTTTGGGGATGGGAGCTAAGCCTCCAGGCTTCCCGCGCACCCCACTTCACTCTTCCCCTAGGCAGAAGTTGAGCCCAGTTCATTAGGGGAAAAAACAAATACTTACATGTCAACCCAGCGTTTTGTGCAACAAGGCGAATAACACGGGAAACTGCTCTGTGAATGTAATTTCATGCACTTGATGAATGTGGGCAGTCTCAAAGGAATAGGATATAGATGACACTTGAGTCTCACCCTGACGTCCTGCGCCTCTTATGTAAGCCTCCGGTCGGGATAACTGTCTCTGCAGTGGCAGCAGCTGACTCTCCACTCCATTTGTTTAAGGTCCGGCTTGAACAGTATTTACTGAAAATGCTGACATGATCTAGCGGCCTGGAGTCTGAAACAGAGTGCACTCTTCAGATGGGAGTGTGTTCTCCTAATAGGGAGCATAGGAGCAAAACCCAGCATATTTTTCAAGGCAGCTCCAGGAATTAGACACATAAGTCATGTTTTAAAATAGCATGCATTGTGCAGAGAGCTTGCAGAGGACCCCTTTAAACACATCTCCTTTGTTTTAGAAAAAGTAGATGCTAGTCATGCCAGACAAGTGTTGAGTCTGAAAGTTAAGTGCACTGATGGGTTTAATTATCTTAATAAACAAAGAGCATGATTTATAGGTAGCTGCCTTGCCTACTTTGAAGGATCGATTTTTTTAACCTTTCTTTTTCATCTCTTCTGTAGAGATTCCTTTTAAGCATATCAGTAGATCATCATCATTGATGTTTAATACTTGAGTTGATTAAATTAATAAAAGGATACTTTGAAGTACCATATAGTACTGTGGTGACTAAGACAGTGAATATTATAAATAAGGAGACTATTCATATTATTTAACATAGAAGTTATTAGTTTAACCAAACAGATAACATTAAGATATATATATATAAAAATTTGGCTTGTAATAGTTATTTAAATCAAAACTCATAGGTACATTTTTCTTTTTATCCTCACCTGAGGACATTTTTTGTTGTTTTCTTTGTTGTTGTTGTTGTTGTTCAGATAGAGTGGCAGGGGAGAGAGTGAGAGAAACATTGATGTGAAAGGGACACATCGAGTGGTTGCTAACCGCATGACGCAACCAGGGCTGGGAACAAACTGCAACCGAGATACATGCCCTTAGCAGGAACCAAACCCAGGTCTCTCTGGACTGCAGGCCGACGCTCTAACTGCTGAGCCAAACTGGCCAGGGCAAAACTCACAGGTACATTTTAATGTGAGATTTATTTAAGTAATCTTTGGAAAAAGGAGCACATTTATTTATGCTATTCCAGCATATAGAACAAGATGAACTAGTTATAGGTACCTCATTTAAAAACATATAGTTTTTTAAAAGAATTCTAAGAAAATATACAAAATATTGTTTCAAAGGTAGAGAAGTTGATCTAGTCAACATTGTGGCTCATAAGAGTGTCCATGGCTTATCTCTGAATGAGATGACATCCGGGTTTGGGGTCCCGTGCAGGTTGACCCCCCCCCTAAAGCACTGTCATATTGTTATCAGGAGGACAGAGTAGGAAGCTGGGCTGGTGGCTCTAGTACTGCTGTTTGAATCTGGCCAGGTTACCTAAACTCTGTGACTCAGTGTCGTCAGCAGTGAAATGAGGGAGCTCCTCCCTCATTGACTTGGGTGAGATTAAATGAGTTTATAGATGTGAAGCTGTTGAACCAGTGTCTGGTCCATGAATTTGGGTAAAGTGATCATTGTTTGGAGAGGAAGTGGACACCATGGATGATATTGAATGACTGCTGATGTAGGTGAACAGAATCAGTTCACGCATATAATAGGGGAGAGGGTATAATGAGCATTTACTAGACATCTCCCAGGGATGCAGACCCCAGCTGTGTCTGACCTCCTGTCTCTGGCAACTCCTTACTGAGGTAGGTAACTCCATGTCCACTTTGGAGATGGGAAAACTGAAAGCGAGATCAAATAGTAGAATCAGAATTGGGATCTGAACCCATGTCTGTTGTTTCAAACCCTGTTCTTTTAAACCCTGCTGCCTCAACTTGTCCAGGGCTGTCTTCATCTCTTCTCTCATCCTCATAAGAACATAATGAAATAAGTGCAGTATTATCTTCAATTTACAGATGAGGACATTGAGGTTACACATGAAAGTATGCAAAGTGCTAAACAGCACTCGCAACATCAGTCTCCAGCACAGGGAGCTATTGCTACTATCATAATTAGTGTTTAATAACGTGCCCACCCTTGCAGGTGGGCGAGGCGCCTGCAGGTGCCAGAGTGCTCCCCTCCAGTTTGAAGTGACTGTGGCTTTTTTACTTCCTTATTGTTCTATTAAGCAAGTCAAGAAAAGAAAGTTGGTATGAGGTTGCAACTCACAGTGGAGGATGGGGCCCGTGATTGGTTTCCTGCCTGCAGGTGGGGCTGTGGTGGTCCAGCCAGCCTAAACTGCTATGGCAGCGATAATGCACCAACAGTCATGTCATCCCCAAGAGAGACTTTAGTCCCAGCGGAGAACTCCCAGCGGCAGACAGAGAGCCCTGGCATTTTGCCGCACATTGTACTGTCTGTTCAGAACTGGAGTGGTTTGTACCTGACCTTAAATAAGCATGCTTCCTCTTGGCCTTTGCACCTGTGCTGTGGGAAGCGGTATCAGGGCCTGAGGGAGCAACACTGTGTCAAAACTGGGTCCACAGCCTGTTGGCCGTCTCACCTGACTGCCAGAGGGTGGGAATGATTGATAGGCCAGTGTTTCTGTGGCTTTTTCGGTTACTTGCCAGATACTACATAATGCACTGGCCCTTGGTAAATATTGATTCTCTTTTCTAGATATTAAAATCGTATTGCTGTATAAGGCACCTAGACAACAGACCACTCACAGATTGATTTAATACTTAATGATACCTCTGAGCTAATGCATCCTGCCACTGGGAAAACTTCAGGACAGATGTTGCAAGTGGGCTTTTGTCAAAAATCAAAACTCTCTGTATGGGGTCTGTAGTTCATGATGCTACTGTGTTGCAAATGTGAAAGTTGCTAAGAGAGCAGACCTGATAAGTTCTCATCACAAGAAAAAAGAATCTGTAACTGTGTGGATGTTAACTAGACTTGGTGTGATGGTTATTTCTCAGTAAATACAAATATCGATTCATTCGGTTGTCCTGAAAATAATATAATGTCATATGCCAATTACATATCAATTTAAAATAAAATGAAATCTCTCCCTGGGAGGGAGCTGCCAGGAGGATGCCTCCGTGTGCCTGGGGACACCGCACAGATACAGTGTCCAAAACAGCCCCTGCCTGGTATCAACTGAGGCTTTCCACGTCTCTGAATTCTCTCCCACGTCACATTTGGCTCCCTTTTCAGAGAACAGCGATCTCCTTTTACTCAATCAATTCTTAGGTTTCAAATGCTTCTCTGTTCTAGGTTATTCTGTAGTAAAATTTTCCCCAATCCCCTTTGTGACTTCAGCTGGGTGCATAATATACTTTTAACTAATTCTTCAGAATTTATATATAGTTCTGGTTTTTTTTTTTCTCCTGTCTGGGTCATTTACTTATTGGCTTATCTATGGCCATCTCCAAATTTCCGATATCTGATATCACTTTTCTCTATCAGCCTCCCCACCACACACATTGTGGATGAGAAGTGCCAGCTCCTTTTAATATGGTTATAAGTGCATGATGCTCACTTACTCTCCACAGTCATCTACGATTTTGAATTATTTCCACTTTGGGCTAGGGGAGTCAGGAGCTGATTATATTTCTGGAGCTCTTACCTCATACACCCCTGAGCCATGTGTTGGGGTGGGGTGGGGGGTGTTATACAAGTTTCTGATGATGATAACAAGCAGTTCATATGCACTGTGGCAGAGAGTCCCTGGGTGCTGGGAATTGCTGAGTTGGAGAGCACGGGTGGGTGGGAGCAGACAGCTCTGAGCGTGATTGATCGGCCACAGTTCTAGTCCTCACTGGCTGTGCCTTCTGGATAAGAACTGGGACGAATCACTGATACAGAGGACTTACCCCATGGTAAGAATTCTACATACAGTATTTACTTTAATTCTCCAAGTGACCTTATACAGTAGTTATTTTATTATCCTTCTTTGCAAAAGTAGAAACCGAGGCCCAGAAAGGTCTGTACACTTGTCCAAGGTCATATGTGTGAGTTTGGGAGCCAAGAGGAGTCCAGGCTGTGAGATGAGACCTTGGCTCCTTACATGGCATCTCCTGCCTCCAGTTTTGGAGTCTTCGTAGTAGTTAAACTGTAGCACAGGTGTCCTAGGTTGTGCTTTTCAGAATAATCCAACACTGTGTCTGGTCCCTGCAGTGACTGGGATAGGGCTGAAAGGGTGGTTGGAAGGCACATGCCCACCTTCCTGCTCATGGCCAGCAGCTGGCATCGACTGGCATCTCCTTATTTTCCTGGAAGAAAAGCTTAAGCTTAGTCCATACAATGAGCTCAGAAAAGAAACTCAGATGTTAGGGTTGTGAAATAGGAAGTGCAAAGCCTTCAACTGATAATGGAAAATACTGGAGAGGCAGGTTAACTTTGTCTGTGTTTGGGGTCACATACTTGCATCATTCTCCTTAAAGAAAGGAGAAGTGTAGAGACCTGAGATTTTCTTGAGTGATTAAAAAAAAAAAAAGTTATTTAAATGAAAAAAAAAAAAA